GTCCACCCCTCTTAAAGCATGCTGGCTGGAGGATTCTGGGAGTTGAAGTCTACCTGTCTTAAGGTTGCCAATTTTGGAGATTCCTGGTCCAGGTGTGACCCTTCGAAGGAACCCTTTCCCCCTCCTCTTAAAGCCAGCAGCACCTGTGAAGAGCAGCCCCGCCCAGCCCCACCTGTCTCGTGGCTTGGATTCAGACAGACAGACAGACAGACAGAGGTAAAGCAGCAAGGTGTATCTCCGGTCAGGTTAAAAAAAGGTAGATGGCAAAAGGTAGAAACCTGGGGCTTTGGAGTCGGGAAGGAACAAAGGCTGCAGGAGCCCAGAGGAGTTGGTGGCCGGCCCTGGAAAGAAGCAGAGGAGGAAGGAAGGAAGGTATAAAAAGAAAAGAAAAAAGAGAAGGGAGGAGTACGTTTGCCATTATTCCCTCCCCCCCACCCCCCCATCAGTCCTTCAGGCTGGATTCAGAGGTGCTCCTCAATTGGGACCCTTCGGGACCATCCCTGATACCCCAGTCGATTCGTAGCTTGACTACTGCAACAGTTTGTACATGGGGCCGCCCTTGGAGACGACTCCCCCGAGCTAATATACACGTCTGAGGCGGAAACAGGGCCTCCTGGTTTCAAGGAATGGATCAGAGGTGGGTATTCAGCCGGTTCAGACCAGTTCTGGAGAACCAGTAGCGGAAATTTTGAGTGGTTCGGAGAAAACCGGCCAATCCCACCTCTGACTGGCCCCGCCAACCCCCCATCTCTTCTCGGCCTCCCCGTTGACTCCCGGCGGATCGTCTGGGTCTCCTTTGGTTGCCCTGCCCAGGAGAACGGAGCTGGAAAGCAGGTGAGTTGGGTGGGGGAGGGAAGGGGGATTTTGCAGTACATCCTCCCCCTGCCACGCACACCAAGCCACACTGACAGAACCGGTAGGAAAAAAATTTGAATCCCACCACTAGCATGGATCCCTTGGGGGGGGACGGGGAATCTCCATGGATCCCCTGCTCAGGTGGGGGTCATCTCCTCTATCTACTACGGGAGATCCGGGTCGAAACCAAGAGAGGCGAGACCTCAGGCCGAACGTTGCCCCCGTGTTGTGTTTCGGCATATAGATTTGAAGGGCTCGCACCGCACGATAGGGAGAGTCCTCGGCTTACGGTTTTTCATCGAGCGGCCGTTCAAGGTTGAACCGCGCTGAAAAACCGTGACCGAGGACTCGGTTTTCACACTTAGGACCGTTGCGGCATCCTCAGGGCGGGGAGGGGGCTGCTGGGGGTTTCGCAGGGGTCCGGGAGAGCCCCCTAGCTAAGATTCTGCGCAGTTCGGAGAACCCCTCCCTCCAGATCCCACTCCTGGCTGGCCCCGCCTACCTTGCCCCTCCCCTGAGTCCGTACGTGGCCTGTTATGGATGCGAGGAAGTGCAGGGCACAAGCAGAGACTCTGGGAAGGCCAGAAATGGGCCCGTTTCCAGCTTCCAGAGATCCTCCAGAGCCCAGGGAGGCCATTTTTGACCTCCTGGAGGCTCAAGGAAAGCCTCCGGATTCCGGGGAAGGCAAAAACGCCCGCGCCCCCCTTGCAGTGGTGCAGGAGGCCAACTAGGCCACGCCCACCCTGGCCATGCCCACCCATCAACCGGGTTTACCCCTTGCTAAAATGTTTGAAGCCCACCCCTGTCTCAGGTTCGCGTGATCCAAATTGGAACGTTTGGTAACGGACCATCGTCGCACTGCCCCTCCCCCCCCCGGGGTCGCGCGATCCCCTTTTCGCAACCTTCAGACACAGGCAACGTCCAGGGGAAAGCCTGATCCACTTAACGGCCATGTGATTAACCTCATCAGCCACCGTGATTCACTTCACAGCCGTGGGCAAGAAAAGTCGTGAAAGGAGACCAACCTCGCTCAACAAATGGAAATTTGGGGCGCTCTTGGGGTCGTAAGCCGAGGACTACCTGTTTTCATAAAATCCTTGGCTTTTCTGCCTCCAGGAACTGGTGGGTTCCTGGTAAGGATCAACCAACCAGGGAGAGAATCATACCCTGCCCTTGGCAGAGAGGTTTTGCAAGTGACTTGCCATCCCTCGTGACCCAGCCTGCTGGTTAGGTTGGAGAAGAGTGATTATTGGGTGGACTATGCAAGGACAAGACCTCAGGAGGTCAACGTCTACTCAATTGCAGTAAAGTTGTAAGACGAGGACTACCTGCATTGGTCCAGGTCAGGGAGGGGTCTCCAAACTCGGTAACTTTAAGATTTGCGGCCTTCGAACTCTCCATGCTGACTGGGGGATTCTGGGAGTTGAAGTCTATCCCTCTTAAAACCTACTCGGTGGGCGATTCTGGGAGTTGAAGTCCATCCCTCTTAAAGCCTGCTGGGCAGGGGATTCTGGGAGTTGAAGTCTATGCATCTTAAACCATGCCGGCTG